AGCATGTTACACCGGTTTTAAAATCTCTGCACCGGCTTCCGGTGGATTTTAGAATCGATTTTAAAATTCTTTTATTTACCTTTAAATGTTTAAACGGCCTGGCCCCCTCCTACCTCTGTGATATTATTCTGCCCTATGTTCCCTGTCGGGGGTCGGCCCGATGTTCCCCGGGTCCGATGTTCCCCGGGTCCGGTGTTCCCCGGGTCCGGTGTTCCCCGGGTCCGGTGTTCCCCGGGTCCGGTGTTCCCCGGGTCCGGAGTTCCCCGGGGCGGGGAACACCGGACCCGGGGAACATCGGACCTTCCAAACGCCGGAGGGCCCGGTGTTCCCCGACTGCGGGCCTCGCTCATAGACATGTTATTGCTGCGCGCGGATAATGGAGCAACAAGCGGCTTTCGCTCATAACTAGTCTAGGGCTACTGAATACTTTATATTATAAGCCTTGTAGATCTCGCATTGTAGTAGCCAACTACATTTTTCCAACCTACCACCTCAGAATAAGAACGTGTTGCAGATAAGAAAAGTAAAATTAGCTCCACCACCTTTTCTTTTTGGAAACATATCTCCCTCCGTTCATCCTCGCAACAGTATCGGCGCCAGGTTTGCAATTTTGGGTAGGCCTGCAGATTAGTAAGTAGGCCAAATTCGCTTGCAAACTACAAGGGCTAACTGGAATTGGGGTTTCAAAGAATATGGTTCAAACGCACACATGCACGCACACGAACTCACGCGCGCACATACACACAAGCTCATTTATGAAACTTGCGTTGAAAAAGGTGTACATTTTGGGTGTATATTCCATTTACGCAATTTGCCAAAATGTTTTGATACATTAGAAAAATCCTTCTTGAATTGTAGAAGTGAATAAATATAGATTGATTGAATTAATTAATTAATTCATATATATTATGCAGCGGTGGCTCTCATGAATGAAGCGTCTGCAGCGTCTTGGACGCAGCCTGGCTCGGGGTAGAAGTGCGCATTGAAGCGCTGTACACTTCAGAGAGCGTTTGCGGTCCAGATTTCACAAAGAAACTCTGGAGCCAAAACTTCTGCACATGTGGCGCGACCTCTCACGGCACTCGCTGCGCACTCTGGACAGGGCAGTGAGACATTTGTGAGTGAGCAATACCATTGATGCGTTATTGGGGTGTGTGGCTGTGTGAGGCTTACACAAATCTAATGAAATAACACATTGCTTTAGATGTGAATGAGGAATATAAATAGCCGTGCGTAATTACGCAGCGCAGAGCCTGCCACAGCAATAGCTGGGTCACACATCCCTGTTGCATAAAGTGTATTTATATAGAGCCTTTCACTGTCCAGGATCACAAAGCACTTCACATTTTAAAAACATACAGATCAAAATAATACACACACAAGTCAGATTTAATAGAGGGTCCTCATCATGAGCTGTGATTTATTCGAAGTTTGCGTGTTTCCATTAGACTTTTTCTGATGCGCAAATTCAAATTTTGAAACATGATCCTCAATGAAAACACAGCATATAATTTTGCCAGAGGGAATATGTTTATTGTTGTACATATCTTGAATTTCATGCGTGTTGTGCCGAAGGTTGAGTTCAGCGTATAGATTTACACCACCTCCAGACCTGGCGTTTATTTTTTGCGTATTTTACGCTCACGTCCAGATAGATAAATGCGGAAAAGTGTAATATTTTGCGTACGCCTCATTTACCCTGATTTGGCCGTACGCAGGTTTCATACATGAGGCCCACAGTGAGGCCCACAGTGAGGCCCACAGTGAGGCCCACAGTGAGGCCCACAGTGAGGCCTACAGTGAGGCCCACAGTGTGTCTCACACAGGCCTAGAGTTTACCTCATCAGTGCAAGGCGAGCCTGGCCTGACCGCGCTCTCCTCCTCTGGGACCTACGGGCCCGGGCCTCTGGCTACTCTACCTCACAAAGTTCACGCTGAACTTTCTTAAAACTAAAATGAAAAAGGCTGCTCTGTTGTGAATGCTTTGAGAGCGTTGTCAATCTTTAAGACGAGGAATAGCTGGTTGTTCTCGCTTCACGCTGTGTGATATGATATTGGACAAAATTGTTCAGCCAATAAACAGGACTATATTTGAAGCAACGTAGGAACGTGATGACGCTCAGGGGGTTATATTATTATTATAATTATTATTATTATTCCCCCCACTGTAGGAGCCAATACACTTTTCAATATTTTTGAATTCTGAGCGTTTCCAATTGTATTTAAAAATGGGAAACCTAATTAAACAATCATGAATTGAGCTTTTCCGATCTTATTTTACACTGATTCCTTTGATCATTTTTTTCTTAAAGTTCAAGTTGTAAAAATGCTATGTTTGAATTGGTTATTTACATTTTAACTGTGAGTGACACGTAAGGCGGGACAACAATGCACAATGACGCACGCATTCTGAATAGAATAATATGTATTAATATCTTTAAAACTAAAAGAGCATATTCAAGTTTTACAACAAAAACGACGTCATATGCGTGTCCATTATGCGTAAAAGCACAGTGCCCTCAGCAAAACCACGTATTTGGAAAAACTATAGGCTAACAGATGTAGTAGCTCTAGTTTCAATCGTCCTCATTTTATTCAGTCAGACTTGTCAAATATAGATGCCCATGGGAGAGTGAGCAAGGGGAGATAACATCCCCATGACATGCCCAAAAATATCCTGCATAGACTCAAGCTGCGATCAGCTGAAATATGAGCACACAAAGAGCGAGAGGGAAAAAGAAAAGTAAATAGGCTTAGGCTAGTTAGTATTTTTTCTCTCACAAAAGTTGGCGCGGATCATATGCCATCTTTCGTGGAGGAGGAAACATCAAACATCAAAGCGCGCACGCGGGGAACAGCGGCACTAGTCTCGTTGTTGAAGTCCTGATGTTCCCCCACTTCTATTGGCGGGGGAACATCGGACCCGGGGAACATCGGGACTTTTTAATACGCGAAGTACCGATGTTCCCCGGGTCCGATGTTCCCCCGCCTATAGAAGTGGGGGAACATCGGACCCGGGGAACATCGGTACGCACCCCCCTGTCGTGCCCTGAGGTCGGCAGATCAGCTGATGCTGGTGGTCCCTAAGACACAGTGTAAGCTTTGTGGTGACCGAGCTTTTTCTGTCGCAGGACCACGCCTTTGGAATCAGTTACCCATTGAGATAAGACAGGCTCAGTCTCTGCCTGTTTTTAAGTCACTTCTTAAAACTGATCTTTTTTCACTTGCTCTTGATAATGTTTGATTTTAGGTAATATTTTTTATATATGTATTTTTAATGTGTTTGTTTTTGTGTACAGCACTTTGGATTGTGATTTAGGGCTTTACAAGAATACGTTGTTGTTGTTGTTTCGCACAGATTCTTTTTGTATTGCGCAACATGTTTACGTCACAGATCTTACGTGCCCTGCGCTACACAGCACCGGTCTGCATGGTCCGCATGCATCGATAGTGTTTGTAAAACTTTTTCACGGACAATGCATTTATCTATCGTAATATCATGGAGGATGACGGAAAAGGCACTGGCAAAGAGAGTTAGAAGCGTCTAAAGTGTGGGAGCACTTCACTCTGAACACTAAAGCGGAGTAGTTTGCACACATAGCTAGCATCTCATGATAGCACCAGTTTGCTTCCTGACGAGGAAGCATCGAGGGAAGACCCGAGACGTGGTAAGTCAACTTTGTTGTTGATAATGTTGATAATTATAACACAGAGGGGTTTTCCCACTCCCGCGAACAGTCAAGCACTGAGCGGCAAGGTTGAAAACTATCAAGGTTGAAAACTATCAATGTAGCCGCTTACAGTTAGCCTTTCATTTGTTAACGCAGTGATGAAGCAGAAAGGTTTATCAGTACCTACAAAAGACATGTGTTATGAATGTTTTACTTAATTTGACATTCACTACAATCCTAGTGCCAACTTGTATTTTACTACTCCACAACAGTTATTTGAACTCCGTACATAATATGCCTGTATGAACACTGTAGACCAAGATCCATCAGCAGTTACAGAACTGTAGGAATGAGGAGCACACGACACAAGAGATGTGAACAATAATGATATACTAAATGAAATACTTTAATAGAAAAACAAGTATAAAATGCTGTAGTGTATAGTGTCATATATAGTCACATACTATATATAGACACATGTGACACCTGTGGTTCTATATTGCTTATTATAATTATTGCAGAGATGCACGACATGTGAGGTCAGCAGTGGTTTATCTAATATTGGACATATTGAATCTGGAAGGGGTGTACCATTGCTTTTTCCTGTCTTTCAGTGAACCATCACAGCCTGTTTAGGACCAGTTCCTGCTCCCAGCACAAGCAGCTGTTCTGATAGATAGCATTTGAAATATGCTGGTCAGAGACATGCGCCTCATCTGATTCTGTTCAATCTGGAAGGCCTCAAAAATCAACCGTGGTACAGGTGCAATCGCCGCTGCCTTGTCTTCTTTTGATTATACTGTATGGATGCAATAAACTGTATAAAATAAAATAAAATAAAAATAATTATTAAATAGTTTTCATTTGATATTGTATATTTTTTCTCAATTAATCGATTGGTGTATTCGATAGAATAATTGATTACCAAAATACTCGATAGCTGCACCGAAAGTGCCACCGAAAATGTAGAGAAGGCGTCACAAAGTCAAGTTTTAGGCTCAAAAGTGAGATTTTATCTAATTTGCACAAAAATGACAAAAAATGATCAGGACATGTACATTTGTAAATATTTATGCAGTTCATAAGTTTAAAAAAGTTGATTTGGTGCTTAGTTGTCCTTTAAGCCCCAGGGGCCAATCATGGCCCTCTGCCACTAACCCTAGTAGTTTAATACAATGTACTGTAATCAAACCTAATCAGCCAATTTGAGCTCAGGCAATATAGACATGATGTATTGTTGACACAATACAAATGTGTTGACCTAACTTAACATATTGGCAGCCACTCCTGAGTCAGTGTACCTCAGGGCAGCTGTGGCAAGAGCAGAACTCACCTGGACTGTAGATGCTCCAGCTGCACCTGCATGTTCTCCGTCTGCTCCACCTGTTCGTCCAGTGACCTCTGCAGCCTCCGGGTCTGATTCTGGGCCTCGTCCAGCTGCACAAACGTGTGTGTGTGTGTGTGTTTTAATAATATATACTGTACACAATACCATAAGGATTCTGTTTATTGAGGGTCTTGTCTCTGTGTTTGTTGAGGGTTGTGTCTCTGTGTTTATTGATTGTCGTGTCTTTGTGTTTCTGGTGGATTGTACCTCGTCTTCCGCTTGACCCAGATCCTTCTTCAGCTCCTCGACCCTCATCCGGAGTTTCTTGACCTCAGCCTCGTGTCCTTCCATTCTCCTGTTGGCGTGAGACAGCTCTGCCATCTTCTCCTGAAACTGCTTCTTCAGCTTCGAGTGGAGGTGACGAAGGTCTGCAAGCTCCTGGAACAAACAAAGGGGAGGAGGAGGTCATTATCTGCTCTCACCAGGAGGAGGAGGTCAGTACCTCCTCCCCCTATAGAGAGGAAGTGTCTGAGGTCTGCCAGCTCCTGGAACAAACACAGAGAGAGGATGGAAGAAGGGGGATGTGGTCCTAACCTCTACTCAGCAGGTGGAGGAGGTCCTGAACCAGCTGCAGATCCCACAGATGGAGATATCACTCATGGTGTATCACAGTGTTCCATAAACTGCCCCCTCCTTAAATGAAAGAACCTGGGGTGTCTTACAGAAGCCAGTCTACACCCTCTGCCCCTCTGACCACCTGTCACTCACTCATTTGCCTCAGTCTCCACCTCAGTCTCTGCCTCAGTCTCTGCCTCTACCTCAGTCTCAGCCTTAGCTTCAGTATTAGTCTCAGTCTTAGCCTCTAACAGCTTCATCTATAATGAATGTGATTCAGAGCACTGTAAACACCTCATACAGAGTGTTTCCCAGAACTCTGCCCACTTGCACTTCACTGATGGGGAAACTGAAGCAAAACTGAGGAAATGGGAAAAGGTCACTGATTGTTACACGGTTATTTATTTATGCATGCTTTGGACTGAGCTGAAGAAGAGAGACTTACAAGGCATTGTGTTCCTGAAGGCTGGGGGTAAGTGCGGAAGTCTAAAAGATACAAAATCATGCAATATTTTTGTTCATTTTGGCTTTTTATCTAGACCAGGGGACTCAAACATGTGGCCCCCCAGTAGACCTCACAGTGTAGTGTCGGTGTGGCCCCCTAGTGGACATCAGTGTGGCCATTAGTGTCAGCTGGGCTTACAAGTCCAGCCTGTAGCGGCACATTAACTCATTGAGTGCCAGTCTTGTCTCCACAGCTTGGGTCTAGAATGCCAGCCATTATATCAATTTTTCCTGATATTTGCAGAGCCACAGAATATTCTGTGTTACTGCCATAATCACATGCTATAATGCGTTTGAAAGGTGAGGCTTTGAACTTTCAGATGGTGAAAACCTTCCGTTTCTATCAGCTTTTGCCCCTGAGAAATCCTAAGCAGAAGGTGGGAGTTTTTCATGAAAATCCTTGTGAATTTCCTAGAAAAGGAGATAGAGACCGTTTTATTAAATATCATTTTTTGAGGGTTTTTTTGTTCTGACACATACATTTCTGGGTCTATGGACATTTATAAGATAGATATATCTTATAGGCGTGGGGTAGGCTACAAAAAAACGCATTTATGAAGGAATAATTCAATTTATATGAATATTTATACCTCCTTTACAATGACCACTGTAGATGCAATTTGATCCATATGAAAATGCATTGCAACAACAACAATACGAATGTACAATTAGAATACAAATGTTTATTTTTAGGAATATAGTGTAATAAGAAAATAAAAACATAAGATCCTCCTCCGCTTTTTCGCAGACAGCGGCAGGAATATGCGACCGCTTACACGTGTTGTTTTCTGATGGGTCCCTATCACTTACTATTCTGCTTGGACCAGCCCATGCTGATCCTTGCGCCTTCTGAGTGCCTCCTGAACACCTTCCTCAGAGCAAGCTCTCTCCTGTGCACCTTCCTGCAGTGCACGAGTGTCTAAAGTTGATTCACTTCTTTGATGTAAAAAGCGCTCATCAAGGGTGTCTAGCGAAAGCGCATTGACTTGTTTTCCTCATCTCTGTCAGCAGCATGGACTGTATAGTCAGCAGCTCCGTGAAGTTTTTGCTAAAGGATGAATCAACACTGCCACCTTGTGACAAACCCACGAAATTATCTTTTTTGACCTCCGCCCAGTATCACATATGAGGCAATGCGAAAACCACTCAAAGCTGCGTTGTGAACAATAAATAACACACGTTTAAGTGTTTAATGAGTTTTAGATCGTCACATAAGCAGTAAAATTTATCATAGCATTCCCAAATGTACACACAATGGGCCTCATGTATGAAAGTTGCGCAGAAAAGGGTGTATATTTTGGGTGTATATTCCATTTATGCAAGATCCGACGTGGAATTTATGAACATGTGAGATACGCACAGATCTGAGCGTACGCACCTGCGGCTGTTGATAAATGCCGCGCTCAAAACCAGCGTATTTATCAAAGTCACGCCTATAAATATTCAGAAACTGCCTGTTCCACGCCCTGTTTTTGCGACAGGTCAGATCGAAACCTGACCTTCAAACATCATGTAAAGAAACTCCGTAACACTCTTAAGTTTAATTTGGCCAACTTCAGATACATTCGGGGTTCACTCACCACTGAGGCGTCCCATCTGTATCTGAACTGCATGATCCTGTCACATTTTGTATACTGTGTCTCGAGCTGGTCTCAGGGCTGTAAAACCACTCTGGGACCTCTCGAGTCACTGTAACAAGTGTGCCCTTAAGATCCATGATAAGAAGTCCAGGCGGTACCATCACTGTCCCATCCTCTCTAAATATGACTTTCTCAACTTTGAAAACCTAACATTTTACTCCAATGTTTGTTTGCTGTTTAAAATTATCCATAGTGTTAGTGCACCTCCTCTAAGAAAATGTGTTTCATTGAGTGCAGACAAAATGACCAGAACCACTCGATCCACTTCTAGAGGAGAATGCAGCTTCAAAAAAATGTAGAACAACTTTTGCTAAATCTGCTTTTTCTGTGACGGCCATGAGTCAGTGGAACACACTGCCCACAGAGATCATTGCGTGTACTACATTTAAAACATTTTCTTGGCTGACTAAGAAATGGCTTCTGAAAAAGCAAGTTTTTACACACGAGTGAGTGAGTGAGTGAGTGAGTGAGTGAGGGTAATATTCTAGTAGAAGTTGGGGAGCTTTATTTATTGTTATTAAAGTTAATGTTTTGTGAATCATGTTATTTAAAGCCTGTAAATGTAAGACACAGTCATGTATCCATCTACATTGTAATCAGTTTAAATGAATATAACACCAGCCTGCCCAGGGACTACAGGTGGAAATTAGCATATCTGCTATAACCTGGTAGATGCATCTCTGCTATAACCTGGTAGATGCATCTCTCCTTTTGTCCCTGTTCAAATAAAGTACATACAGTGGCGGCCGGCCAATAGAGGGCGCTAGGGCGCCGCCCCACCACTCACAACTTGCCATGTTACCTTGAATAAAACGTTAAAAAAAATAATAACATTAAAATATTTCGAAATTTATGTGTGTTTTATTTCAGATGTGGAAGAAATACTTTATAGTTTATGCTGAGTTGGATTGATTAAGCTCATCAGCGTTGTCTGTGTCGGACTGAGGACGTATTTCCGCCTCAGGGCGCAATCTTTTGCGCCCTGAGCCGTCTATGGACTCTCGTTAAAAGTTGTACATGCGCAGTAGCTCCTCTTCAATGCAAGAGATAAGACGATTTGGGGGAGCAGGAGAAGTGCGCCCTGAGGGGGCGGGATCGCCCGCGACCTGTACTGTCACTGTCTGTGACGTCCGTTTACAGGGATTGACAGGTCAAGCTGTGGGAGTTTGAGACGAACGTAAAGGGACGCAAAATGGAGAACGATAAAAAGAATAATTCAGTTAGATCACTCAAAACAATACCGTTTGAGAGAAGATCATACCAGGAGAAGGTTGAGGTTAAAGAGCTTGGACCTGATCAGCCAAATATTACCATTAGTCAGCAGTCCAGCAACAGGGGGAGACGGTACACTCGGACTTTTTCCAGGACCTGGTTCAGCGCCAAATCTTGGCTAGCAGCATGTAGCGAGGCTAATGCTTTATTTTGCTTTCCCTGCCTCTTGTTTCAAACATCAGGATCTGACCCAGCATGGATCAAGACAGGTATGACTGATCTGAAGCACTTTTTAGAAAAGGCAAAGAAGCATGAGCAGACTGGTATCCACATGCAAAATGCCCTCAAATTAGCTATGTTTGGGAAGATAAATATTTCATCCCAGCTGGATGAAAGCTACAGGGTAGGGATCAGAAAGCACAATGAGGAGGTTGACAAGAATAGGCACATCCTATCAAAAATTCTCGTGTGAGGCTTCAGTCACAACAGTCAGTGTAAACTTACTTACTGCTGGTATATATCTAGTCATCATATTCATAGCCCCCCAGTAAAAAGTTCCCCCAGTAGAAATGCCCACCAGCCACATTTTCGGAGCGTTTTTTTTGCAACAGAAAAATGCACATTTTTGTTATTTCTGAAGAATGGATTATACTTTGGGAATACAAGTGGAAGATTCTTTTTTCACTGAAGACTGACGGAGAGAAAGAGACTAAAGCAGGATGGGGAAAGTCTAATTTGTTAGTGCTGCAGAAGGCGAAGGTAAGAATACTTATAACAAACACGATTTATTTTGATGCCCATATTATGCGATATATTTTTTAATGCAAGTATGATATTGTTTACACTTACAGATAACTATAGCTGAGAAAATAAGCTTAAGGGGTTAAGTATTCTACTCCACTCAACTCTTTAATCTTCTCTACTGTATTCTTTGTTCTTATTATTATTATTTATGGTTGAGTTACAACAGGGTAACAGATTACAATGTTACTGGTTACAGACTTAAAAAATTGTACCCAGGTAAAGGTTAATAGTACAGAGCGTTGGGCACCCATCTCCAGATTTGTCATTCTCAATTTGGTCAGAACTACATCAACCTACCGAAAATTGAAATAACCAAAATCCATGAAACCTTTAGTGACGTCAAGCCTGGTACCCAAAGGAGACTTGATGATTCTAATCAGTAAGTCACAGGATTTTTATCTTTCAAATGGAGTCCACGCTTTGTCTTTATTACTTGTATTACTTTCACTTTCTGCATTCTGACTAAAACTATTTTTCAACAGCTCAGTCCTGCTCCCACACGCACTCGCTGTCTACACTATTCTCTAAACCTGCGTCCATTTTAGGTCCTATACCAGGGCTCTCACGCTGCCATCTTCAATAAAATCTCCCTCCTGACTCCTCCATCTCATCCTCTCTCCATCTCATTTTGTGTGCCGGCTCGGAGCAGGTGTATTAGACAATTTTGAGGTCAAAAAACGTGTGCACCTTTCCATAGGAAGGCAGGGTGTACTGACAAAAGACGTAGTGTGAAGTTATTCAGCTAAATGTCTTGTTTGGAAGAGGATGTGTTTGTACTCTTGTTGAAATCCTTGTAGAACAAAATGGGGTTGGCATTGAAGCCAAACTTGTGCATTGAAACTTCAGCCCGAAAAATTATTCTGATGTGTAATGTACACTACTGATGCTGTCACGACTTCATTGTACACTGGTGTAGTAAAAAAGGCTTCATGTACTAATAATTGGCGACAGAACACTTCATCAGTTTGTTCTGGATTGGGTGGTTTTTGCGTGACATTCAGATTTCACATTTTCTTGGCCTGATTTTTGTATTTCACTGACTAAATTTATGTCTGCATTCATCCAGTAATAGCTAGGTCAAAACTTTAGCCCATAGGCATGGTATACCTCTTTTAAATTGAAGGACAGTTCTACGTCATGGTGCTACGGTCCCTTAGGGACTTCCGCTAGTGGATATCACTCGTGACACCCAGGTCAACCGACAGAGCAGCTCAAAATAATTTGCTCCAAATCACCAGCCACCGTTCTCTATAAATGCCCTGCACAAGGCCGACCGGTTGAGATCTACCCACAGTACTTACTTTATTCAGAGATTGTTTCCTTGTTCGTCCGAGTTCCCTTCGCCCTTCCTGCGTCGGACGTCGTACTCGATCCAGACGGTGGCGGACTTCACTTCTGTGGGTGCCACCACTCGAGGAAGGAGGAGGATGCCTAAGCCCCTTGCAGCCAAGAGGCCTGCTCGGG